GAGATGAATAGGGGGGTGGAAGTTGTTGCAATCCCTGTGAAATTCTTCAGGGGTCTCTTTCCTGTGGATCCATATGATGAAGATGTCATCAATGAAGCATAAGTAGAGTAAGGGTGCTAGAGAGTGAGAGCTGAGGAAATGTTGTTCAAAGTCAGCCATAAAGACATTGGCATATTGTGGGGCCATGCAGGTGCCCATAGCTGTTCCACTGACTTGAAGATACAAATTGTCTTCAAATTGTAAATATTTGTAGGTGAGGACAAAGTCACAGAGCTCTGTAACCAGGTGTGCAGCGGTGTCATCAGGGATGGTGTTCCTGATAGCCTGTAATCCGTCTTCGTGTGGAATGTTGGTATAAAGAGCTTCTACGTCCATGGTTGCCTGAATGGTGTTTTCAGGAAGATTACTGATGTTCTATAGTTTCCTCAGGAAGTTGGTGGTGTCTCAAAGATAGCTAAGAGTTCTGGCAGCACAGGGTCTGAGAAGAGAGTCAATATAGCCAGATAATCCTGTTGTCAGTGTGGTAATGCTTGAGATGATGGGTTGTCCAGGATTTCCAGGTTTGTGCATGTTGGGTAGCAGATAGAAAACTCCTGGTCAGGGATTAGGGAGGGTGTTTGTGTAAATTTGGTCCTGAGCAGTATCAGGGAGCTTCATGAGTAGTTGGTTTAGGGTTTTTTATTCTTCTTCTTTAGTAGGATCAGAGGGGAGAAGCTTGTAGAATCTGGTGTTGGCGAGTTGTCTGGTAGCCTTCTGTTCATAATTTGTTCTGTTCATGATGACTACAGTGCCCACTTTGTCAGCCTCTTTGATTATGTTAGAATTGTTTTTGAGGCTGTGTATAGCATTGCATTCTGCATGACTGCAGTTATATGTTATATGTTGTTGTTTGCTGACGATGTCAGCTCATGAATGTTTGCAGAAGCAATTGATGTAGAAGTCAAGACTCTGGTTACGACCGTCAGGAGGGGTCCACATAGATGCCTTCTTCTTGTGAGATTGGCCGGGGGCGCGGGGAGAGCTGCAAGGTCAGTGTGTTGTGTACATTGGTGTGTTGGAAATATTTCTTTAGGTAGAGGTGGAGAAAATAGGCTTCCAGATCTCCACAGAACTGAATCATATTCGTGAGGGTGGTGGGGCAGAGGGAGAATCCTTGGGATAGGACAGATTTCTCTGCCAGGCTAACAGTGTGGTAGGATAAGTTGACAATGTTGTCAGGTGAGTTGAAAGTATCAGGAGTGAGAGATCCTGAGGCATGTAGGAGTTTGGATAGTTTATTGCCCTTTTTCTTCTGAAGGGAGGTGAAGTGATCCTTGGAGGTGGGTTGTTGGGTTTTAATCAAGTCTGGCAAAGAGGAAGTGTATGTAAGCTTGTTTTTTTATGAGAGTCTCTAATGTTGAGAGCTCCTCCTTGATTTTCTTCTTTTTGTTGTATAGTATGCTTAGTAGGTAGTTCCTGAGTTTCTTTGAGAGAATGTGGCATAATCTCTGGCTATAGTTTATAGGGTATGTAGATTGTAGTGGGTTTTTCACCCTCAGTCCATTAAGTATGACGTTCATCTGTTTTCAGTTCGGTAGGAAGATTATGTTTGTTTGGATCTGTGCAAGTTTCTTTGTATAGTTGATAGATTTCTACTCTGTGAATAGGCTCATTCAGGTCAATAGAATTCCCTGCATATATAGCCCGAAGTTACCCATGTGTGGTTTCAGAGTCTGAGCTTTTATTGGGTATAACCAGCATACCTTTACTTATGCTGGACTACAATCCTGCAAATACTTGTGCACATATATAACTGTGCTTCTAGATATAGTTCCATTGTCTCACATTCATAAAGTGTTCCATGTGCATAAGTGTTTGCACAGGATTGGTCTCTTAATCTTTACTGTTGTGAGTAGCAGTTAGAAAACCAAGTTCACATGTTGTAAAGTAGCTGAACTTTACCATTTATCTTGACCTTTTAGGTCACCAACTAATTATTTATCATGAAATCTAATAAACTCTGTTATAATTTGAGATTAAGAAAAGGTAAAGAGAAATCAGCAGGCCTATTTAGATTGTTTAAACAAGATGTTATGAACCCTAATATTTATTAATATATTTTCATTTAAATGTACATGATAATATAACAAAAACCACTCCATATCATATACACATAACTAAAACATTGCACTTTGAAATCCCTATAAGAATGACAGTATCTATTAGGGTACTACCACTGAACTCATTAATGTACAGGCTGACCAGCTTAATTAGGTATGTTTTAAATTTTGAGAGTCAGAGATAATATTAACCTGAGCTTTGTTTGAGGTTTTCAGTGTTACACTACTTTAAATCAAGAGGTGATGTTGCACTGATTTAATTAAACTGGTGCAGCTTTGGGCATCGTCTCTCTTCCATTCATTTAGACTTTGTGTATACTTGCACTTTTGTCAGCAAAACTTTTGTCAGTCCAGGTGTGGGAAAAAAATCCTCAGGTCACGTAAGTATCACTGGCAAAAGCACCAGTGTGGACAGCACTATGTTGGTGAAAGAGTCTCCTACCAACGTAGCTACTATCATTTGTTGGGGGTGTTTCATTATGCTAGTGGGAGAGCTCTCTCTCTCTTGCTGACATAGAACACCCACACAGGAGACCTTACAACAGTGCAGTAGTGTAGACATAGCCTTAAACTTGTCACTGTTATTCAACAAGTCAAAGGTTTGTCCACACTTGACATGATACAAAAGGGAAGCTTCACTTCTGTTGTGAGACTCAGTAGTGTAGACATAACCTTAAACTTATCACTGTTTTTTAACAAGTCAAAGGTTTGTCTACACTTGAAATAATACAAAAATGTAGCTGCACTTGTTGTGCTTTAATATAGACACTACCTACGCTGCAAGGAAGAGTTTTCCCATCAGCCTAAGTAATCTATCTCCATAAGAGGTAGAAGCCAGGTTGATTGAATAATTCTTCCATTGACCTAGTGCTGTCTCTATATGGAGATTTAACTAGGCTTAACTATGTCACATGGGGTGTGTGGAATTTTCACAATCCTGAGTGAGATCGCTGGGTTGATCTAATTTTCTTGTGGAGACCAGTCCTAAGTCCCTATACACACAATCACACAAACCACTGCAACATTTCACTTTTAGTTAAACCAGTGCAAAGTTGTGCACTAGACAAGTTTCTGGCTGTTGTCAAGGTGATGGTACACAGGCAGAGCAGGAAGTTGGTTGGGGAATGGTTCACAATCCTGAGTGAGATCGCTGGGTTGATCTAATTTTCTTGTGGAGACCAGTCCTAAGTCCCTATACACACAATCACACAAACCACTGCAACATTTCACTTTTAGTTAAACCAGTGCAAAGTTGTGCACTAGACAAGTTTCTGGCTGTTGTCAAGGTGATGGTACACAGGCAGAGCAGGAAGTTGGTTGGGGAATGGTTACTGTGTAACATATTGGAACTTTAGCCTCAACCTTCAAAGTTAGGTTGTGTGTGTTTGGAGAGGACCACCTTATTTTCAAATCCTCCCTCGCCTCGGTGACAGCAAGTTTTTAAACCTTTCCTCCAGATTAACAAGATAGGTCAGAAACCCGTTTCTAGACTGTTTTAAATCGAAGAAGATAAAAAATGACCTTGTTGCCTCTTCATTGGCTGGCAGGTAATGAAACATCCTGGGGTAGGAATGAATGCTGGGAAGCAGTGAGAGAAGAGCAAAGGGAAGAGAAACGAGTGGAGCAGCAGAGGAATCAGAGTGACTGAAGGGGACAGAGAAGGGAAAGGAGGAGAGCCTGTATGTGTGTGTGAGTGACAGAGAAAGTTTCCTGCCCCCCCAACCTGTGTTGCTTTGGGACGATCTAACCTTCTCCGCCGCTGGCTCCCAGTTCCAGGCGGGACAAGAGCAGCCCCGTGGCCACGGTGAGGGGCAGAGGAGGGGGCTGGGGCGCAGAAGGGAGGCACCCGCAGCAGCTGCCCCTCTCCTACCCCCGGCCGGGGGCCCCCTCGCACCGAAGCGCCGGGGACGCAGCCCCCGCCCGGCCGGGAGTTCGCGCTGCCCTCTCTCTCCATCACTTACTTTGTTGTTCTGGCGCCCGCTGCGGCGCATGCGCCGGACTAGGAGCCTTCGGTCCCTTTTCCTTCTCCCTCCC